ATTTAATGTTATGGTGAGAGGGTACATACTATCTAATAAAAGAGTAATATGCAAATTGACCATCACTCCAACACACAAGATGGCCCCCCCATGTGGACACAAGATGGCCACCACAAGATGGGCAGTTGGGGGGGACCAGGACAGCAGGGGAGGGTAGTTGGGGGGGATGGGCGGGAACCAGGCCTGCAGGGGAGGGCACTTGGGGTGAAATAGGCAAACAGAGGAAGGAAGTAAAGGGCAATGGAGCTAGCAGGAGAGGACAGTTTTGGGGGACCAGGCCTGCAGGGGAGGGTACTTAGGGGTTACTGTGCCTACAGGGGAAGGCAGTTGGGAAGGATAAGGCCTGCAGGAGAGGGCAGTTAGGGGTAACCATGCCTGCAGGAGAAGGCAGTTAGTGACAATCAGGCTGGCAGGGGAGCAGTTAGATGTCAATCAAGCTGGCAGGGGAATGATTAAGGGGTTATCAGGCTGGCAGGCAGAAGTGGTTAGGGGCAATCAGGCAGGCAGGTGAGTGGTTGGGAGCCAGCAGTCCTGGATTGTGAGAGGGATGTCTGACTGTCCGTTTAGGCCTGATCCCAGTGGGATCCCGGTGGGATTGGGCCTAAACAGGCAGTCGGACATCCCTTGAAGGTTTCCAGATTGGAGAGGGTGCAGGCTGGGCTGAAGGACACTCCCTCCTCCTCCCCCTCATGCATAAATTTCATGCACTGGGCCCCAAGTAATATATAAGAGGAAAAACTATAATATTTCATCAGAGAAAGTTCTAGTTTAAAATATTCCTCTTACCTCTTAAGTTTCTAAGGCCCAGAGGGGAAAGTCAAGTTATTTTATCCTACTTGGCTAAGTAGATAAGTATTACCTGGAATTGTTTAGGATAAAAATGGGGGTTTCATTTTTCCATCATTATTAGTCCAATCTCATTCTGCCTACTTCAATTTTCTGGCTCTTACCCCCAAGTTTTTTTTACTAGCCCCATTATCTGCTTCTGTGAGGGAAGTGGAGTGGAAGAAAATTTCAGGGCAGCCCTGTATAGAAAATAAGTTCAAAAATTTGAAGTTCTTGGGAAAATAGTATCTGCCACTTTCCCCATAGGAACTCCACTGTTAAACCTACATATGTGTACTTGTTTAATACATAAGTTGCCATACTTTAAGAGAAAATTTATTTCATTTTAAAGACTTCCTTATACATTGCCGCTTATGAAAGATAACCTTCTGCAAATGATAGATAGCAATCTCACACACGTAAGTTATTTGCAACATTCATATTATTAGTTTTTATGTATCAACTAGAGTCTCAGTGCACAAAACTCATGCACGGGCAGGTGATCCCCTCAGTCCACCTTGCATCCTCTCCAATCCAAGACCCCTCAGGGGATGTCTGACTTCCAGTTGAGGCCCAATCCCATAATCCTGGACTGTTGGCTTATAATTGATCACCCACCTGCCTGCCTGGTTGACCTTAACTGCCTTCTGCTGCTAGCCTAGTGACCCCTCACTGTCCCCCCTGCCATCCTAATCACCCCCAACTGCCCACACCTGCTGGCTTGGTTACCCCAAACTTCCACCCCACCAGCCTAGTGGTCCCTCACTTCCCCCAAATGCCCCCCCCCCAATTGCCTCCCCTGCTGGCCTGGTCACCTCCAACTGCACCCCCTTCTGACCTGGTTGCCTTCAATAGCCTCCCTGCTGGCCTGGTTGCCCCACACAGCCTGCTGTTCAGTCATTTGGTCATTCCTCACTAACCCCCCTGTTGGCTTGGTCACCTCACCCAGCCTCCTTGTTCAGTCGTTTGGTTGTCTCTCACTAACCCCCCTACCAGTCTGGTCATAGGCAGCCATCTTTTGAGGGCATGACAGTCAACTTGCATATTACCTCTTTATTATATAAGATAATTTATTTAAACATTTTAAATACATGATAGGGAAAGTATAGGAAAGAGACTTGGAGAGAACAAAAGAACTGGTCACGATAATTGTTCTACTTAGAGAAATTTATTTTTTAAATTGGCTCATGTGATTACAGAGACTGGCAAGCCCAAAATTTATAGAGCAAGCCAGAAAGCTAAGAAATTTAGAAAGAGTTGGAGTTGCAGTCTTGAGTCCAAAATCCACTGGACAGCCTGACAGGATAGAAACTCAGGCAGGATTTCTATGTTAAAATCTTGAAGCAGAATTCCTTCTTGTCCCAGACACTTTGCTTCAACCAATTGGATGAGGCCCACCCATATTATAAAGGGTACTGTCCCTTTAATTATATAATATGACTATCATATAATTGTAAATGATAGTCTTATTTACAAAATATCTTCACAGCAATATTTAGATTAATGTTTGACCAAACAACTGAGCACCATAATCTAACAATGTTGATACATAAAATTAACCCTTTGAGAACTATCATTTTCCCTGGATTATTAATGAGGAAAATGAGACTTGGTAACTTGCTCAAAGACAAACCATGAGAATGAAGTCATATCAAATTTTAACCTGTGTAACCTCAATATCAAAGCAGCCAGAGTACATTGCAAAAGAAAATATTAGTGAACTTAAAAACATACCAATAGAAATTAAACAAAATGAAACTCAGAGAAGAAAGACTGAAAATCATGAACCATATCTCTTAGCTGTGAACAACATTAAGTGGCCTAATATATGTGTAATTAGAGTTCATAATTAAATAGGAATTGAAGGAAATTCCCTCAAATTGATAAAAATTATCAATGGAAAAGGTATAGCTAACTTCATACTTATAATTAAGGACTTGAATATTTTCTCCTGAAGAAGAAAAACTGATTCTATGTGTTGATGGCATTATCATCTACATAGAAAAATCTTACAGAATCTACAAAAAAAGCTATAAAGACTAATAAGTGACTTTAGGAAGATTGCAGAATATATAATTGATATGCAAAAATTTGTTATCCTATATATTAAAAGCCTAATATGCTAAGTGTCTGACCATTTATTCGACCATAGTACCAGTTGCAATGATGTGACTACCAGGGGCAGATGCTCCGATTGGTAGGTTAGCTTGCTGCTGGGGTCCAGCCCATTGGGACTGGATGAGATGGGCCGGACATACCTGGAGCCCTCCCAGAGTCCCTCCCCAACCCTGATCAAGCACTGGTAGGGTCCCTTGGCCTGGCCTGTGCCCTCTTGAAATCTGGGACCCCTCAGGGGATCTCAGAGAGCCAGTTTTGGCCTGATCCCCACAGGCCAGGCTGAGGGATCCCACTGGTGCACAAATCTGTATACAAGCCTCTAATTTCTATATATTACCAGTGAACAAATAGTTAATGAATTTTTAAATTCCATTTAAAATGGAGTAAGTAAAAATGTGATATATATAAGAATAAGTTTAGAGAAATGTATAAAATCTGTGCACTTAAAACCACCTAAATAAATGGAGTGATTTGCCAGTATAATGGGTCAGATGACACCATATATTAATAGTTAATATGTCAGATTACCCTCAAATTAATTTATAGAAAAAAAAATAATTCCAACCAAAATCCATTTTGTAATTTTTTTTTATGGAAACAGACAAGCTGTTTTTAAAATACATATGGAAATGTAAAGAACTAGGAAAACCAAAACAAGTTTGAAAAATAGCAACAAAGATTTCACATTATCTTATTCAATATTTCTTATAAAACTTTAGTTAACACCCTCTCAGAACTGCTTTTGCATAGATTTGGGGTTGTTGTGTGTTCATTTGCATTTGCATTACCTCAGCATTTTTTTTCATTTCCATTTCCATGGAAAAATTTTTTCCATCCCTTCATTCTCATCTTGTGTGCATCTTTTGTTTAAAGGTGGGTTTCTTGTAGAAAGAATATAATTGGGTCATGTTTTCATATCCATTCAGCTACAATATCTTTTGATTGGAGCATTTAATCCATTTACATTTAAGATTATTATTGATAGATATTTCTTTATTGCCATTGTCTTTATTTTATTTTATTTTATTTATTGCCTAAAAAACTGTTTAATGAGATCTAGGGACATGGCATAGCCCTTTACACAAACACCAAATTTTGATCAGAGAGAAAAGACAGGAAAATAGACTTGCAATGAGAGGGGGTGGCTTTTCAGTTGGTTGGGGGAGTGGATGAAATGTTTCTAGGGCCCTCATAGAGGAGCAGGGGCCTCATCTTCAGGAATATGGGAGCTGGGGGATAGATCCTGGGATTGGAGGAATAAACTCCAGGAGACGGTGTATGTGTGTGTGTGTGTGTGTGTGTGTGTGTGTGTGTGTGTGTGTGTGTGTCTATCTTGAGCTGGAGGATGAATCCCTGGAGGAAGAGGGTACACCCTAGGTGGCTATGGAGTTGCACTCCTAGGGCTGGAGGGGTGTACCCCTGGGGACTGAGGATGGACTAAAGAAGCTTATGGGTACCCCTGAGGCCTGGGGGTGGACTCCAGCAGATGGGGAAGGGTGGACACCTGGGACTGGAGGATGGATTCCTGGGGCTAGAGGGTGAATCCTGGGAGCAGAGGGAAGAATCCCAGATGTTAGTGGGTGGACCACTGCTGCTGGGGGATGGACCCTATGAGCTGGGGAGGGGGGTATCTGGGGAGGGCCCAGAGGCCCTGCAGATGTAGGCCCACTGGATGGCATGGGGGGCAGAGGCAGGACTCCTTGTGGGAGTGGAGGCAAAGACTCAGGCAGTGGTGACTATGGGGACAAACCATTCATCAGTGGATGTGGTGGCCACTTCACCCCAGGAGGCCTAGCAAGGAGGCGTGGCTGGGCAGGAGGATTTTCCATCTTAAAGTGGAAGTGAAGGAAGAACTGCTTGATTTCCTAGTTCCAATGAGCCCAAAACTTGCCCTTGGCCTTATCTCTCTGCTTGGCACTTTGAAGACAATGGTTTTGTAGGACTCAACAGCTATCAGCAGCTCCTGCGAGCACCTGTCTGGGGACTCCATCCTCTGTTTAGGCGTACATGAAGCAATACCATCAGTGATCTCAGGATAGTCGATCTGGAGGAGGAGGCTATGTTGGCCTATCTGTGTCCCTCTGCTTGGTCACTTTATAGCCTGGGCAGCCAATCTTCACAAACTTCTTCATTTTCACCTTGACCTTCTCCAGTGCTGGCTGGGCAGGAGCCTCCTTACCCTCCTTGTGCCAAGTAGGTCTGGTGCTTTTCCCCCTGGGTATGCATGAGATAGCTCCCCCCCCATTGTTGTGGAGTGTCAGGTGCAGCTTACATTCATACAAGCCCAGGTGGTTCTTAATGAAATAAGGGTCCTTGTTGATGTCAATGGTCTCTAGGGCCAGCTGCCAGAGGCACTTCCACCAGTCCCTGTTGCTCTCAGAAGAGGATGCCATGCCCCCACTCCTGATTTTTCCCCCAGGGCAATGTTGGAAGTGCATTATAAAGGCCTTGGGGGATAACTGCATCTGAGGCCACAATCCTGTCACCTTTTCACCTACTATGGCCACTATGAATTTGTCCTGCACACAAACTTGTCCTTGTCATTTTAATACTTTATTTCTATGTTTTTCTACATATACTAATATTTCTTCTAATTACAGTAATCCCTTTAGCATTTCTTGCAGTTCTGGTTTAGTGATGATAAATTTTTTTAGTTGTTTTTTGTTTGTTTGTTTGTTTGTTTGTTTGTTTTGGTCTGGGGAGTCCTTTATTTCAGTATCTATTTTGAGTGATAGCCTTGCTTGATATACAAATCTTGGTTTCAGATCCTTCCTTTTCATTAGCTTGTATACTTCATGCCATTTCCTCTGGTCTGAAGAGTTACTGCTTAAAAATTAGCTGACAATCTTGGGAGTTCCTTTAGGTAACAAATTGCTTTTCTCTTGCTGCCTTTAAGATTCTCCTTTTTATTTTATTTTTTATTTTTGTCTTTAATTTTTGGTATTTTAATTATGATGTATCTGAACATGGGCCTATTTGGGATCTTCTTTCTTGGAACTCACTATGCCACCTGAACTTGTGTAACTTTTTCCTTCACCAGCTTAGGGAATATTTCTGACATTATTTCTTTAAACATGTTCTCTATCCCCTGCTCACTTTCTTTCCATTATGGTACTCCCATAATACGAATGTTGTTATGTTTCATGTTGTCCCATAGCTTCCTTAAGTTGTCCTATTTTTTACTTGCTTTTTCTTTTTGGTTGTCTGATTGAGTGATTTTTTTTTTTTTCTACCCTGTCTTCTAATTCATTGATCTGATTCTTGGCTTCCCTTATCTGATATGTATTTCTTCCAATGTGTTCTTTATTGGTGTATGCCACTCTTCATTTTTGAGTGATTTTTTCCCCATAGTTTCTAGATATTTTCTCATGCTGTTAAGCATAGTTGTAATCATTATTCTTAACTCTCTATATTTGATAATTTTTTTTTTAATCTCTATCTCATTTAGTTCTTTTACTGGTGAATTCTCTTGTTCTTTCATTTTGGGCTTGTTTTTTTATCTCCCCATTTTGACTGCCTATTTTGGTTTGTGACTATGAAGATCTTCTTTTAGGTAGATCTTCTATGCTTCCCAAAATCTAGTGCAGGACAATGTCAGATTCTGTTTTTGATGCCCTTTATACTCTGTTTGGGTCTAACAACAATCCACAGCTTGTGGCTCCATCTTCTGGGTACCTTTATAAAGAACCAAGATGTGCACCAAGATTTGCCTGTCCAGCCCCAGGTCCAGAAGATCAAGCAAAGAATCAAATCCTCTGAAGATCTGCCTCTGACGTGTTCTGTCTGATTTTTATTCAATCTTAATTAGCCTTAGGCTATTGACCAAAGGGTGGGGCAATTACTTCCCCCTTCCAGGCAGATTAAAAAGCTGCCTGGATGGTAAAGGTCTGATGGAGAAAATGACCTCTGCAGTTTGAGGAAATGATTCAGCACAGGAAACTGCCTTCCAAGCTCTAACCCAATGCCCCTAATCCTGGATTTTGCTCACCCAGTTCTAGTCCACTCTGTCCTCCCTCTGCTGGGGGCCAAGGTGAGTGAGTGCACATAAAATTGTGTGCTTACCCTTTAAGAGGGTTCCTGTATTTCCAGCCATCTCTCCCTCGCAGACAGCAATCCTTCTTATATCCACAGCCAGATGTTGTATGGGCACCTTTCTCAGTTTTAGTGCTTTGGGCTAAGAAGCCCAGATTGGGATTTAGGCTCCAGATTTCTCATTGGGGTCCCCCCGTCCACCCTCCACTGCTGAGATATATCTCCAGAACTTCATCTGCTGTCTGTGGGAGCCAAGCCAGCCCTTATTCACCTCTGCACTTCCTACCAGTCTCTTTTCTCCACTTTCAGTCCTTGGTTATAAAGGTTCACTTCAGCTAGTCGTTAGTTGATTATTCTGGATGGCTTTTCTGTATTTTACTTGTAATTCCAGTTTCATCCTGGGAGAGTGTCAGTGTAGCTTCTACTTACACGGCCACCATTTTGGAACTCCCTGAACTTTTTTTTTTTTTTTTTAATATTAGAATCTGGTAGACTGAACAAAGGCTGCTGCCAGCCTTAGTAAGACATTTCATATGCTGTTAATTTCTATAGTTCAAGTTAGTAGTTCCAGTGATTTGGTTCAATACACTTGTGAATGACCTAGAACAGTGTTTCCCAAAGTGTGGTATGCGTACCCCCAGGGGAATGGGAAGAATTTGGTGGGGGTACGTGTTGCACTGGAGTTTGGTGGGGATATGCACTGCACCTTGCTTAGCTGTGCCTAATTCTAGGTTCTCATGAGTACGAGGGGTACTCAGCATTACAAAAATTATAGAAGGGGTACACATATGTCAAAAGTTTGGCAAACACTGACTAGAGGATGAAGTGAATGGCAGTGTGGAAAAATTTGCTGATGATACAAAAGTGTTTAGTTTGTTAATAGCTAAGAAGGATTGTGAGAAACTTAAGATGCATCTAATAAACCTGGATGACTAAACAAACACAAAGACAGCTACCTATTACAGAGAAGAAAAAGGTGATAGATAGTGGAATAAATAATTTAAGCTCTACATAATATAAATAGTATACACTGATGGAATTAGAATTTATGTTCATCTCAAAGGAATAAGATGTTCTATAGGAATCAAATTAGTGAAAATATTTCAGTAAAATCATCTAATCTGCAATGGTCCTTAAAGAAAACCAAAAGAGTTTAGGTATATATTCAGAAAACAAAGACAGGAAAACCTGTATTGGACAAGGCAGGTTACCTACCTAACAAGCTTTCTTTTTGCTGACTTTGTCCTGATATTTCCCCCCAGTTGCCTTCAACCCCATTCTTCACCCCACAACATAAATAAGAGGTACACCATTAATTCATAAAGTATTCCCCAGTCCAACCAGTAAAATTACCTTGCAACACATTAGAAATGTCAATTATTAGGCCTCATCCCAATACATGGTACTAAATCAGAAACTCTGGCAGTGGAACACTGTAATCTGCATTTTAACAAAGTTCCTGGTGGTGGAACATTGCAATCTACATTTTAACAAAAGTCCCAGGAGATTCTGATTCATGCTAAAGTTTGTAAACCAGTCGCCTAAACCAGTTATGATAATTTCATTTCCCTTTGCCAATGATCATATTAATAAGAATTGACTCCCTTAAAGCCAATGAGATACAAGTGAAATCTGCTGGAGGATTCTAAGAAAGGTCTTTCTCTCTGAGAAAAAGGAGAAAGACATTGCAGCATTTGGCCATAGTTGAATGAAAATGTGATATCTGGAGCTGCAGCAGCCAACTTGTGGCTATCAGGAGGTACATCTGAGGACAGCAAAGCCAAAAGACCATGTGTTTGTGCCACTAATTTAACCAACCGTGGCAACACTCTACATCTACGACTTTGGGTATGTAAATAAATCCCATTTGATAAGGTATGTTATTCCTTAAATCTGAAAGTATCCCAAAAGCACATCTTTTCCTTCTCCATTATGGTGAAAATGAGTCAAATCTGAACAGATAAATATTCAGAAATAGTGAGACAAAAATCTGGAATACAGATTTTCTTGTACTGCTCACATGAACACATGAGCGCCATATTCCCTAATCTTCAAGCAAGTGTATTTTTAAGCCTCATTTCCATTATATATGTGTTAATATAATACATATTTACTTTCTTTACAATTATTTGTGAAGCATTGTTAGTAATAGAGCTATGATGAACATAAAAAGTCCCTCCTGGGGCCAGCACACAATCCATCCAGCATAGGGCTCCCTGTGACTAAACTATACATTGTAAACAAAGGTCATAGTTGTGGTAGTTCTTTACCTCAAAGTTGTCAAGTTAAAGTTAAAGCGATGCACTTTTGTTTCCACTAAAAGCCCATCATGAACTGACCATTTAAGAATCTACTCAACTCTTAATGTTGCTATTCATGTTATGGATTAAGAAATCACATAGTAGAGGCAAACCTCTTCTCTAGGATCACTTTTATGAAAAATAAAGTGTCAAAACAGAGGAATAGTAAGAGATATTCACAGAGAGAGCAGGTAAAAGGTACTTCCTGTTGACTGTGTCTTAATATCCTAGCCACATGCATTGCTTGGGATGGTATAAAAAGTCACAAAAAAAGAGGGCAGAAAATGGGATGATCAAACAAATGAACACATTCTTTTCTGTGCACCATCTCAGCTTAACTTTAGAATACCCCTCAAATGATTAACTTCAAAAGCAGATGGGTTTTTCATCATAGGTCAGTAAACTGGGCTTTATGGGACTGACAGCAGGCATTGTTCCAAAATCAACTGTCCTCCACTGAGAATTCCCTGTCACCTGTCAAAGAAGACTGGATCTACAAAATTCAGTCCTCAAAGAATGCAAAAGGGCAGAGAATATCTCTCTGAGACAAAATGCAGACTTTGCAGGATTTGGGGGCTTAAGAAAAATACCTTTCAGAGCCATTAAGGAAGCCAGCAGCATCTGGATCCCAGATGTCCAAGCAGGTCTCCCTCTGAGAAGAGGCTGTCCTAGTTTGCCCTGTAGCTCAGAGCAGGTCACTAGAGAAGGTACCCAGGCAATCAGCCAGGAAGGTGGAAGAACTGGCTCCTAGGCACAGTTAGATGCCAGGCTTCTTTAATCCCAGCTGGAGCCATGATATTAAGGTTTCTTTGTTTCCATTTCTCCCCTTGAAAGAAGAGTGAAGATAAAATAGTTCAGGTGATGGGAAGAGACATTTTATCATATAGTTTATAAAATCCCTGTGGCAAGAGACACTGTTATGTACTTACCAAAACCTATTTCCCAGACTCCTTTGCAGCTAAGTGAGGCCATGTGACTGAGTTCTGGCCAATGTAATGCAGGCAGAAGTCACTTGTATTACGTACAAACCTGGCATATAAAAATCTACTTTAGCCATTTTGCACAATCTCTCTCCTCCTTCTATTGGTCATATGCATAGGATCAGC